CTGACCGGGGGGTAATGGCTTAGTGATGGATTCATAATGGGGTAGCTATGGGTAACTCAGTGAACTCTCCCATTCTAATAGTTATTTGGAATGGAATCTATTTGGTTCTTTAATGGATTCATATGAACTATAGGGGATGTTTTTTTTACCCCCTGGTGTTCTAACATAGACCCGGAAAACAACACATGTTTACTGGACACGAATCTTCCACACCACCTATTTGCGTGTTGATGCCGAACATGATCAATATCCATGGGTCCCATACTGATGTAGCCAGGCAACCTCTTCGTTTGTTGTAACCTCAGCAGTTGGAGCAGTACTCAAATTTGCAGGGGATTTAAATGGCCACATCTGAATATAGGGTGCCCCAAATTTGATGCGTGATCCGCATTTTTCCTTATCCAAATAGGAATTTTGCGGGTATGTGCCCATGAAAAAAATCCCCAACACCATGAACATCACATTTTTCACACAAACACTGCAAACCCAACTTTCAATGCACAGAATATATAATTCTCCTGAAACTTCATTTAATATGAAACATGATTAAACCTTTCATACTAGTGACCGGTAGCTTGTTCATTCATCCTCGACCCTTATTGCATCTTGTAATACAACCCCATAACAGCAAAAAAATATCATCATCTGGCTAAACCCCAACTGTTTCAATTTGTGTTGGTCAATTCATGGATATTCCTAATGTTTAATCGGTCAGCGTGGTTTTCCACTTTCCAACCACCAAATCAGAAAAGTTCGCCATTTTAGGGGGACCCCTGCCAGGGTTTGGTCTCTCTAATTTATCTAATTGATAGTTTTTGTCCCATGAGAAAACATGATTGTTTGGGATTATTTGGGATTATTGAGTATCAGTAAGTTGTGATCAATGTGTATATATATATATCGTGTTTGTTATTGTTCCTAAATTGCAATACTTATATGACTTATATCCCCCATGAAAAATCCCCAGATGCACCACCCAAACCGGGTGCCAAGAGACGCTGATGACCTGCGGCTTTGGTGGAGGTCCTGTGACCAGACGGAGGCTGCAAGTGGTGCCTCCAGTTGTCTCTTGGTTTATAGAGCCAATGAATAGTATAGAAATATTTGTTCGCAGTATTATTTATATCCCCTATAATAGTATATAAATATATATATATATCCCACATCATAGTTCTGTCTTTGGCTTATAGAGCCTATAGACCATAGTTATTGGAGTTATGTTCACCAACTTGGCTAATCGTAAATGGGTGGCAGCACCTTGTACTGGGACTTGTTCATCGGATATTGATGGTGATTTTCATGGGAATCTATAGCCAACTATATGACTAATGATTAATGGGATGTAACTAACAATATGATACAATATGACTAATATTTTAATATATCTGGATTAATTCCAATAATTCACTGGCCTGCCTTATTGGGATAGTAATGGATAGTTACCCCTGCTAGCCTTGTTTCCGGTGACATCGCAGTGAGGTCGTAATAATCTATCCGGATTCATGTATATATATATATATACATACATATTACATATACAGTATATATATATATATTGTGTATATACAGAGAGAGAGAGACCTTAAGACATCGTTTTGCTTTTTTTGCACTTTAAGTATATTGAAATAACTACCACAACACGTGGCAGGAATGAAGCATCCGGGAGAGGTTGATAAATTTGTGCTAATGTTTGTTCCTGTACATGTTGCTGCACCATGAACCCAAACTGAATATATAAAAACATATACACAGTCATGCTATAGTGTATATATATATGTACATTGAATTACTGTATATAGTGTGAATATATAATTATATTCATAATATTGATACTTAACTGGTAAATGGTTTTCGTTTCCTATGTTACACGCCTTTTCCCAACATGTCCCGTCCATTCCCGTCCTGGGTTTGGCTTTGGCGGAGGTGCCTGGCAGTGAGGATACTGTGAGGTCTCTATGATTTGGCCAGTGGGAAAACTGAATGGAACATTAACATACACGAATAGACATTGAACATCTTATATAACATCTCAATTTAATTGTTAAGATCCTAAATATCATCCTATATGAACATGAATATCTTGAAACATCAAGGCATATTTGGACATTTTGAACAACATTGGGAACTATGTCAAATGGCACGGGACATGTTGGGAAACTATATTTTTGGACGGGTATAACTCAGTACAACTGGTGTTTATGGTTATACTTGTTATCTTGGCAGTACCATATAACCGTGACACGATGCCAACAGCACATGAACGGAACAATCACATTGATTATTAACTTGTATAACACGATATACCCAGCACTAGTTGTGAAATATTGGGGAACTGTGGGAACATATCACCATAAATAACCATACATACATGCATCCCATTAAAAATTGCACACACACTCACATGCACACACATATATATATAGCTTATCAGCAACCAATTATCCGTTGGGTATCTTGGGATGTTCAGTCTTTGAATGTGTCTGATTTGTTTAACACTCACGATTCTGACCCATACATCACACAGGTCCTGCCTGGGGCCAGCAGAAAAAGAGGATTGCTCCCACAATCCTTGCTACAAGGCTCTCACCGAAGGCACAACCACGCAGAGGGAGAAAGAGAAGACCACGAGTATGACATGAAGAAGAACAGAGTATAACAAATTGCCATCCCTATCAACTGATCAAGCAAACTAATTCAACAACAACCATTTGGATACCACTCCCGTTGGGTAGAAGATTCTTTACCAACAAACTACAGCCCAGTGGCCCAAAGCTGCCCACAACTGCCAGGCCAACCACTGGCCACTTCCAGTCCCACTCCTGGTGCCACAGCAGGAAGTCTATCTAAGAGTCTATCTACAATCTAGCAGCTTCCGAATGCATTCAATCTGAAATATACTCAAATACTGCTTTGATTGATTTACAATACTTCAACATCTTCATTCAAAGTACTGTAAGTGAGTCTCCAGAGCTAGCAACTCTTAGCTTACAGCCTCTCCTGCCGTCCATTAGCTTCATCCCCATGGTGTCGTTGGCTTGAACCACCAGGCGCTGTGGAACCTGCGGTACCGCCACTGCCGGCGGCATTGGTGGTGACCGTCGTGGTGGCTCCAGAGGTCGTGGTGGCTCCAGAGGTCGTGGTGGCTCCAGAGGTCGTGGTGGCCTCGTGATGGTGCCCGACCTGTCGAGAGGGACTCAAATGACACAATTGCCTCACAAATTGCTTAGTTATTATATATATACAGTATATATATATATATTATATTTATATTCCACACATACATGTGTCTATTTCTATGTGTATGTATATATATATACACAAATAGACATGTGTGTGTGTGCGACATGTATACATATATGGCTATGAGTCAAAACTGTGTATGGAACGTTCCGCGCTGTTCCGGACGTATGGAACGAAGGGGTTTCGTAATTGGTCTTGTTCCGGACCTTTGGAATTGTGATGAAATATAAGTTGTACATATATATACATATATATATATGTATACTGTAAATATGTGTAATATATGTATATATGATTACATCTCAAGGATATGCACGTTGAAGCTACTACCGCTGGCTGCCGCTCATTTTTACTTCTCATCTGTGCGGCATCCTTGTTGTACACCTGTTCAACGCAGGTTTGCCTTGCATGGCTAGTGCTCGTGCACTAGCTAGGACATAACTGGTAGCCTGGTAGCCAGCCTCACCCACTGGCTACTATGTGAAGCTGTCCGCTCAGCTTCAGACCTGTCACGCAGGTCCCACCTCCTACTCTTCTAACTCAGAAGTCCCGGTCCCTATGGGGTAGATTGTGTCCCCGCGGTCCCCGCGTAGCAAGACTCTAGGCTCCCAAAACCCACGCGCAAAGGATGGCTTAGGAGCAGTCTATGTGAGAACCTGCCGTTTGTTCACGCGGAAGTGGGTCATGGATGGTACATGGGTGGTCCGGGTCTGGAACGGGTATGGAACGGTGTGGAACGGGGTCTGGAACGAAACGGCCCACTCCAGCACAGCTCTGCCACCACGAAGCGCATCTTTATCAAAATTGGCAGTGTGGAGCGAGAGTAGCGCAGCAAGCAATTCTTAGACTCTTAGACTGCCAGCTGGCAACAGCCAAGCGCATCTCTACCATCAAACATCACAGCTGTGCCACAGCGGGCAGCAACTGTAAGTGGTGCAGGCGCAAACCTGCCACAGGTTGAGAGGGAGGGAGGGTTACAAGCAATCCATTCTTAGACTGCCAGCTGACAACAGCCAAGCACATCCCTACCATCACACAACAAACGCTGCAGGCACAGACTTGCCAACACAATCACAGGGCTCGGGCATAGTAAACCTATTCTTGCATGTACACACTCATGTATGTATGTGCGCTCAAGTATGCGCGTACAAATGTAAAATCAGACTGCGCATATTCAGGTGTATATATATATATCATAACGTATGGATCAGAGGTATGGAACAGAGGTATGGAACGGATCCTTCAAGGAGGTATGGAACGGGGGTATGGAACGGGGGTATGGAACGGGGGTATGGAACGGGTGTGGTCCCGGAGCTTGTTCCGGACCTCCTATTTTGACTTGCACCCATATGTTTACATCATTCTACATGGACTTCTCGTGCCTGGGAGCTGATCAGCTGGATCTGTACCAGGCCGACACGTGCATCAACGATCTGACCGTGAAACACATCCCTTGGTGAAGCAGGATCGATCGGCCGTGGTCAACGGTTGGGGCTTGATGCCTCTTGCATACGGAACCAGGCTTTGGGACCCCCAGATGTTTGAAATCTTCTGGCGAACTATGAAGGGGCACCCAATTGGTTGTGCTAGATGTGTCCATCTCTTGGTAGATTCTCTCCAAGTCTTCAGTTTTGCTGTGCAATCTTTGTGTTCTGTTCACAAGACCATCCTCAGATCTTGGTTTGCGTCAAAATTAGTGTATCAATTCCCAAAAGTGGACGGTTTGAATATCAGCCATACCTGAGCAAAACTGATATATACTAGACAGGTTCAATTTTCTGGGTCCACTGGTAGCCCAATTTCACCCGTACACATCTAATCATTCCAAGCTGCACAAGTTTGTTCACAACACCAGCGACATTGCTTTTCATCACATGGAGGTGCCTATCACCTGTCGCCCACAAAAGCGACGCTGCGGAGCCCACTTTGACTTGTTCCATCCGACTTGTCTTGGTGATGTCCCAAAATTCACCGCAACATATTCACCGCAACATAGATGGTTGAAGATGGTTGAAGAAGAGATGGGAAAAACATATCTATACATAATCTATACATATTACATAATTTACATATATATATATATGTTGACAAACATGTACATGAGTTTATGTTCTTCAACCATCTTCAACCATCTTCAATCAACTAGATATTCTTTTTTTTCGTCATATTTCTGGGTCCATGTGATTTTCAGATTCAGCCATCCGGTGTGCAAGTCACCCAGGCGATGATAGGTCAGAAGGGCTTGGCCACGTTTCACATGGCTTCCAAGATCCACCTGGCACATATTCGAGGGGAGAACATGTCAATGTCTTGAGATATCTTGAGATGTCTTGAGCATCTCCCAACAAACAAATCTCAAAGAATGATGTTCAAAATCGATGAAATAAGACTGAAATAAGACTGATGATGTGGGGTAATTTTGGGTCCAAAAAACCAAACAAGGCATACGAATGGTGAGAGGAAACTATCAAAGTGAGGTGGACTGTCATTACGTACCAGACTTCGCCAAGTTTTACAAGCATCGTGTGGCCCTATGGATTCGAGCTTGGCTGTCTGGGAAACATCCTTCGGAAAATGGAATGTTGCGAATGTTGAATGAAGTGTGGCCGCGTGACCGCATGCGGTCCCTGAAAAAACACCAGGTCGTTCCCTCTTGGAAAATGCTAGTGGAGCCAAGGAACCTTCCATCGATCGAATCGCAATGCTTTCGAGTTCTTGACGATGTGAGCCTGGTGGGCCCCCCAGTTATGTTTGTTGGTTTATAACCCCATGAATACATATGAATACTATAGTCTATAGTTATACGTGATAAGTGTCATACACCATACAGGTATTGGAGTTGTAAACTAACTTGTTGATGATCCTGTGGACATGGTCAGAAGGGGACCCCTACAGACCTTGATCTAATGATCTACTGTTGGATCCGTTCATGGTCCCATATGGGCCGGGGCTGGGGGTTATTACGGGGATGAAATCTCAGACGAAACATCGTCGTGCCTGCTGATAAACCTGAACAAGCTGGGCTTTAGCGTACTTGTATAAATGAATTAATGAAATCCCACATGTTGCTATTGAAGTCCTATATGTCTCTCTTGTTTGGATGGGACATTCCCTCTGGAGTGGAAGCTTCTGACCTCAGCCCGCTTCTAAATGGCACTTGCAGGCATAGACGCCGTGTTCTTTTTTGCTTTCGGCAAGTTTTGGTTTGTCATAATGCCGTCCCACCGCTGTGGCATGCTGAGGCTATGTTTCTCTCGTTTCCATGTTTTCTATTTTTGTCTGGTTTTTGTAGATGTGATGGTTTCCCTATTTTCTATGGTTTGTACGTTCTTTAAGTTTCTATGATGTGTATTTTTTCTGAGTTCGCCAGGTGTTTTAGTTTCCAGTTCACCAGGCAGACCCTGCTCACCTGTGGTTTCTGCTCAAGACCAGGTGGATATAGCACCAGGGGTCGCAGTTGCATCACCACCACATCTTTCAACACAAAGTGCCCGGGAATCAGCGTCCTCAATCAAAGTGATGAACAGACGAGGGATTGAAATATGTTGACATCAAGACTTCCAATACCTGTGAATACTCGACGTTGGACGACTTTGCATCTTTTCACCCAGAGCTGCAGAGGTAAGCATCGGGAAAAACTACTGTCTTCGAGTGATCCCCACCCTGACACACCATTCTGACACAGTTTCAGGCATACCATCTGGAAGTATGTATATATATATATGGCATAAATATATATAATTATATAAAAACTAACATTCTTTCGGGCATATGCTCTGACATTCTATCTGATATTTTATCTTGCATCTATTCTGACATACTTTCTGTTATCTATTCTGGCATTCTATCTGGCATCTTTTCAGACATTCATTCTGGCGTTCTATCTGTTATCTATTCTGACAATCTGGCATTCTATATCATTCAATCTTGCATCTATTCTGACATTCTCTCTGGCATGAGTTCGGATCCAGGCGCACTCACAGCATCCGGATCTGACGATATGGTGCTCGGGTCCAGGCATGGCCCACAAAATCCAGAGCTTGGGATGACAAGGCTGACATCAGGCGGAGCAGGAATAGGCGCCAAACGAAGAGGAGAAGAGGAGGAAGAAGAAGAAGGAAAAAAAGAAAACAAAGAAGAAAAAAACAAGAAGTGAGGAGTTGCAGCTTTGTTAAAATCTAGAGACCCTCACCTGGCAGGTGGGGAAAAAATAACATATGAAAGATACAGTAGGATCTGCTGGGATGCGAACATACTATCATATCTTGACATGCATGTTCGTCTTTCTAGCTATCTGTCTGTCTGTAAGTACTACATACATTACATGACATGACATGACGTTACGTTACGATATTTTACTTTACGTTACATTACACTATGTTTCATTACATTCATATATATATATACATTTACAGACATCGTTTTTGGCCTTGAAACTTAATGTGTCTTGAACGACTGGTATTCAAAATAGGAGACCATCACTGTTGTCGCAGTTTCTTAAAACAAATAGCACACAACAAGCAATCATCCAATTCCAAAACCGTACTGTAATGTACTATAGTTACTATACAATAATGAGACTTCTCATTCTCACTCTGGAACTACCGTGAACTAGCAACAAATCAGAAAAACGAATTGTGAAGCCCAACAGAGGTGACTCACCGTCGATCACCAAGGGACAGAAGGTTTTCAGCTCGCCCGGATTCCGTGGCCTTCACGTCCACCTTGGCGCCCAAGTTCTCTCCTGGAAGGACTGTGACAGGGATCTCTGTGAGCCCAACAAATAGCCTATGTGTTAGCCTATAATATATATATATAACCCTTAGTCATATAAAATCATCATACGGGATATGTATGACTAACAACATTTGTATGTTTGTAGAGATACATATCCCTTATGTGACATACATACATGTTTAGATGCCATAATGTATTGAAAAGGGGTTGCGATTCATGCAGAAACAAATCATGTTCAGGCTTCTGGCCACCCTAGAATGCCATATATGATAGGTAATGCGCACCAATGTTGCATAAACCCACACATCCCCATGATTGCTGGTTCATACATTTGTATCATTAATGGTTCATACCCCCATCATTACCAGTCATTTAATATCCCCATGTTTAATCGTCAACTTTCAATTTTTGATGGTAAAACCACGCATTATCATTACATACTTCCATCGTTCATAGTTCATACATGTTACCCTCTGGTATATCAACATACAAATGTGGTGTATACCCATGGTTTCCATAGGAAAACGATCTTGAAATGGTGGGTTTTCCATTTGTCATGGTTAAATCACCATGTTTAATGCGTCAAACCAAGACAGCAGGGAGATGCTCCGCTCCTACCACCGGGTAGCCACAGAAGATGGTATCACCAGCTGAGACGTGAGCTCCATCGGTTACCTAATGAGGCCATATCACAAGACTTTAACTAATGGACCAAGTCATATAAAAGGTTTATCAAATATAAACATTCCATGGTATGAATAAAGGGACTATGGATGGATAATAGAATGATAATAGAGTGATTCGTAGAATAAATTACGTACTTCAAGAGGTTTTAAACATTCCCAACATCGGTCTAGCAAATGTCAAAGACTTGACAAAAAACTTATATATTTTTGGGAATCGGGGTTGGGTGGCTCACCCACCAACCATAAAATCAAAGAAGTGGTTTAAACAAAAAAATGCAGGAAACCCTACTTCGATGGTTTTAAGCCTGGCTTCCTGCAAAAATTCTGTGAAATCAATCCATTTATTGCAATCTCCACCTTCCAGAAAATACAAATACGACACATATAGGTATACTAGAAATGGATGCTATGAAGATACAATGGAAAACATTGATTCAACAACTAAACTTCAAGTTTGGTTGTGTTCTGGAGTTTTGGAAACCCTGGAGCAGCCGATGGCTGTCACCGTGTCTGTATCCCGAGTGGATATCCAGCTGCAGGCCGAATAGCGTGAAATGCAGCCACACGATAGGCACGGTCTGTGATGGCAAAAACATCCTGGGTGCGAGTGCTGCCAAGGTCATTACTATAAAACAACGGCCGTAGTATGACATGAAATAAATGAGGCAGGGGTTTGAACCAATACTCTGATCCCAATAATTTTGGGCACATGATACTAATATACTGTGTATATATATATATATAAATGTGTGTGTATGCATCTGAAAGTATACATATACTTGCAATGGACGGATAGATAGATAGATAGATAAATAAATAGATAGATAGACTATGAATGTGTATATATAGTCAATAAAAAATAGATGTGCATATATAACTTATATAAGTACACATACTATGTACGTACATACGTACGTACGTATGTATGTCTGTATGTATGTATGTATGCATCCATCCATCCATCCATCTTTCTATCTATCTATCTATCTCTATCTCTATCTCTATCTCTACCTATCTATCTCTATCTCTATCTTTATCTCTGCCTATCTATCTCTATCTATCTCTATCTATATACATATATTTCTCTATGTCTATCTCTATGCCTATCTCTCTCTATGACTCTCTCTATATCTATCTCTATCCATCTATCTATCTATCCATCTATCTTTCTATCTATCTGTCTGCCTGTCTGTCTGTCTATCTCTATTTTAAATCTATCTCTATATCTATCTCTATATCTATCTCTATATCTCTCTCTATGTCTATCTCTATATCTCTATGTCTCTATCTATGTCTCTCTCTCTCTATATCTATCTATCTATGTATCTATCTATCTCTCTGTCTCTCTCTGTCTCTCCATCCATCTATCTCTATTTATCTGTCTGTCTGTCTGTCTATCTATCTCTCTATCTCTCTGTCTCTCTCTCTCTCTATCGATCTCTAACTATATCTTTCTATCTCTATCTTTCTCTATCTATCTCTATCTATTTCTATCTATCCCTATCTATCTCTATCTATCTCTATCCATATCTATGTATCTCTATCTAGCTCTATCTGGCTCTATCTATCTCCATCTATCTCTATCTATATCATATATCTATCTCTATCTATCTCTATCTATATCTCTATCTCTATCTACTATCTACTATGCATCTACGTATCTACGTATCTATGTATTTATTTATGTGTCTATGTGTCTATGTATCTATGACCAATGTCTATATCTATGTTTGTGTCTATGTCTATGTGCATGTGTATGTATACATGTATGTATGCACAATTTTTGGGTATACATATATGAACATGATGTATACATACATGTACCTTATGTATATATGACTATATATATATATATATCTCCTCTGCATATATGTATTTTGGAGGACTGGGCTTTTGCGACTTTTTAGGTTTACCACATTAAACACGTAGCGCTGGCACAGCAGTCATAAGAATTGCAAAAAGGGACCGCCAAAACCCATACAAGACTTCGATGGCCCTTCGGAAAGAACATGCTTCTCCAATACAGGTTTGCCCTCTGAAAATATGGTACGCAAAATGCGGTGGTTTATCATTCCTTTCTTGGGTAGATTAACAATTTTGGGTATACTGCATTTTCAGACAAACCATGGCAAACCCATACCATCCAACTAACCACTGGATGATTCATATGTTATCTCTCCATAACCAAGGTTTGCAGGACCTCCCCATCTCAGGAAACTAACAAAAACAAATCAAACCAGCAGCTTCTGTCGATCTCCACAGAAACACATCGTTGAACATCAGTAAGTTTCGAAAGAACCCAATTTAACATGAATGTCTTAAACATTCAAAAATGATATATATATATATAGTTTCCTCATGTTTCCTCCCAATTTCCTTTAGGCTTCCCAAATCAACCAGTCGGTCACCGCGCCCGCTCCACCAGGCGTCATAGGCGCCCCTGGACTCCTTAGGCACTTCCAGGCCAGGGGGATGCACCACAGGGAAAGCGATGATGGCAACGCCCACGTGGGGCATGATGGTTTGACCCAGATGCGCTCGCCTAAAGCCGGGAAAGGCAACGGTTGGGGCGGTTGGGGCGGTTGGGGTTGGATTTTTTTGGGGGATGAATTCTAAGATCAACTAGCCAAATTTAGGGATAATTTGAGTTTCTTGAAGGATGACCTGCGGTGCTCTTTTTTATTCATCTTATGATTGGGATGAGGAGCGCGACTTTCTCCATTTACAAGCTGGGCAGAAGGTACCAACAGGTCCAACTGTTCCCTCATGCTAGGTCGACTGAAGAAAACAGAATCCGAATCCAGAATCCAAGAAATGGCCTTGAAATGGGTGAACCATGTTGAACCATGTTAACCTCCCATTTTAGATGGTTACATCATATTGAAACCACATGTTTGTCGCTTGAAACTCCATCCGAGCTGCGGCAGGAGTTGCGTCACCTGGCAGGGGCGAAGCAGTCACTGAGTCACTTGGGATGTCGGTTTTTGTCCAACAGTTACCGATGTTAACCATCAAAAAAAGTGTGTAACATAAGTTTCTGATGGGGATACTCTATGATATAACATCTACCAGTAGTACCGCACAAGGCGGTGGCGGAAGTTTCAAAAATAGGAAACCTATAGGAGAGGTTGGTTGTTGTGAATCACGGATGGCAGAGCGAATCCACTGATGGACCGAAAGGTGGTTGGAGTTGTGTTTTCTGGAGTGGTTGCCGTGGTCACCTCACCACAACTGCTGGATGTAGTGTGGTGTAGAGAAGTTGTAGTTGTAGTTGTAGGTGTAGTTGTAGTGTAGCGGAGTTGTAGTTGTAAGTTGTAGTTGTAATGTAGTGTAATGTAGTGTAATGTAGTGTAAATAGTGTAGTGTAGTTGCAGTTGCAGTTGCAATTGTAATGTGGTGTAATTAGTGTAGTGTATTGTAGTGTACTGTAGACTGTTGTGTACTGTGGCGTGGTAAAGCGTAGTGTAGTCTAGTGTATTGTAGTGTAAAGTAGTGTAGTTGTAGTTGTAGTTGTAGTGTAGTGTCGTGTAGTGCAATGTAGTGGTAGTTGCAGTTGTAGTGTAATGTAATGTAATGTAATGAGTGTAGTGTAGTGTTGTGCGATGTAGGGTAGTTGTAGTTGTATTTGTAGCTGTAATGTACTGCAGTTTAATTAGTGTATTGTGGTGTAGTGTAGTGTAGTGTAGCTGTCATTGTAGTTGTAGCTGTGGTGGTGGTAGTGGTAGTGGTAGTAGTAGTAGCAGTAGTAGTAGTAGCAGGAGTAGTAGTAGTAGTAGTAGTAGTAGTGGTAGTGGTAGTGGTAGTAGTGGTAGTAGTGGTAGTAGTGGTAGTAGTGGTAGTAGTGGTAGTAGTGGTAGTAGTGGTAGTAGTGGTAGTAGTGGTAGTAGTGGTAGTAGTGGTAGTAGTGGTAGTAGTTGTTGTTGTTGCTGTTGCGGTAGTTGCAGTAGTTGCAGTAGTGGTAGTAGTGGTAGTAGTGGTAGTAGTGGTAGTAGTAGTAGTAGTAGTAGCAGTTGTAGTTGTAGTTGTTGTTGCTGTTGTTGTTGTAGTAGTGGTAGTAGTAGTTGTTGTTGTTGCTGTTGCTGTTGCGGTAGTTGCAGTAGTTGCAGTAGTTGTAGTAGTTGAAGTAGTTGAAGTAGTTGAAGTAGTTGTAGTGTAATTAGTGTAGTGTAGTGTAATGAGATGTAATGCGTGTAGTGTAGTGTAGTGTAATGAGATGTAATTCGCGTAGTCTAGTGTGGTGTGGTGTGGTGTAGTGTGGTGTAGTGTAGCGTAGTGTAGTCTAATTAGTGTAGTGTAAAGTAGCGTAGTGTAATTGTAGCTGTAGCAATAGTGTAGTGTAGGGGTGGTTGTAGTTGTAGTTGTAGTTGTAGTTCTATCTATCTGTCTATCTGCAAGTTTGAAAACGAAGCTATTCTGGGAGACCTCCTGAGTTTTTGAACTTAGCAACATCAAAAACGCAGCAATTCTGCGAGACTTCCTTAATTTTTGAACTTGAGAACATCAAAAACGAAACAATTCTGTGATACTTTCTCATATTTCCAAGTTGACAGCATCAAAAACGAAGCAATCCTGCGAGACTTCCTTGAAAAATGGAAAGTTGAGTGCAGAGCTGACGGCCTCGTACCAATGCGTTTTGCGATTTTTCCGCTCCACCTGTCTAAAGTATTGCGCCTGCCACGAAAAAGTGATGCCTTTTAAATCTAATAGCTAATGTAAAATATTAAATGGCATATAACAAATAATATATATAATAAAACACTTAAAAAACCTATAATATAAATACACCATATACCAAAATGTACATATATATATATGTATGTATATGTATTGTATTATAACTTAAAACAAAAATATGATACGTGTACAAAAAAAATGACAATATCCACAAGAAACAACTAAGTAACAGCTAAACTATCATCAAAAAATCTTGGGCATTTGGTAGTTCCAGTTTTCGAGACATCTAATCGTCCCAAGTTTGGGAGAGTTCTTCACTAGGGGTACGGTACGGTTCAAAACCCAACGCTTTCCTGGTTTCCACACCCAGGTCGCTGTTGCTGATGGATCTTCTTCTCTGGTCCCACAGATACTGACCCAACTTAGCCCATCTCAGTATTTGATTGGAAGTATGGGTTTGTGAAAATGGGGTAGCACATCGTGCCACAAAATTTCATGGTGTATCGTTCTATCATCATTTTCCGTATTAGACAATAGATGATGGCCGTTTGATGTTATTCCCTTTATTTTCGGACGAATCTGTATGAAACAGAATCTCTGACAGCCATAGCACAACACCCAACACTCCATGCGGCAGAGGAGCTGTGCCATTGGCTGAGGACTCTAAGGTTCTATTGGGCTGCTGTTCGGTCCCTTGGAAAACAGCAACAGCAACAGCATCTCCGAGACCAGCTATACTAGTCCATGGGTTCACCCCAGAAAACCACCAACCAGTATAGACAGTATAGATGGGATGCATGTGAATCTAAGCTTTCATTTTTATTCATTTCTAAACAGTGACCATCTGCCTTGTGTTTCAAACATTTCTGAAACTCGGATTTGGTGACGCCTTCAGATTACCGAAAACATGCTGCCAACATCTTGCAAGTGGGACCAATGCAAACAACTGGCTACTTTGATTGGTTCCAGAATTTGCTAGATGGAATTAGATGGACTAAATAATAATAATACAGTAAATGGGGTGTACAATACGTACGTGGCATCCTTAAGATGGAATGAGCCTCTTTTGATGGGTAATTACATGACTATATACGTGTAATAGAGCTTCATTTGAGCACTGTATGTAATATATTAGGTGTACGTAATACGTATATTAAAAAAATAATCTAAAACACAGTCATAGGATAAACTGATATATTGGCATTAGAATGCATTATATAGGGTACAAAAATGTACAAAACACATAGAAAGGTAATTGGCCTGTAACTTCACCGCTGTACCACTGCTGCAACGGCACCGTGCAGAATTTTGCCACCAAAGATAACATCATGCGGCCGTATGGCAGCTCCCTCGATCACCTCGCAGGGTCGTGGTTCTGACTGAAACCACAAACTAATGATAGTCACCCATTTTGCATGGGAAATGCACAATGTACACATATATATATATACATATATATATATTTAATCTACACATACATATATAAATAAATATATATATATATATATTTATATTTATACTTTTTTGAAAAACATGTCAACCATGTAAAACCATGTTCAAGATATAAAAACCAACAACCTTTTTCGTGCCAGCCGTTTTTCCCTTTCCAAATGGTTGCATGTTTGCATAGCCTGCGGCTGTCGGCTAGTCCATTCTTCCCTTGGCCTTGGGAGCTGTGGCCATTGCTTTGCCAGAAACAGTGTCATAAGTCATATATGTGCCAATTCCTGTATCTAGAATCATATTCATTTGTGTGTTTTTCCCGAGAGCGCCTGTGAAGGGTTCTTCGTAAAAGAGCAGCCGTTGTAATACATCTGCAGATCTACCTCTTCACATTTTCACATCTGCAGATCTACATCCTCACACCTTCACATCTGCAGATCTACATCTTCACACCTTCACATCTGCAGATCTACATCCTCACACTTTCACATCTGCAGATCTACATCCTCACACCTTCACATCTGCAGATCTACATCTTCACACCTTCACATCTGCAGATCTACAACTTCTCACCTTCACATCTGCAGATCTACATCTTCTCACCTTCACATCTGCAGATCTACATCTTCACACCTTCACATCTGCTGATCTACATCTTCACACCTTCACATCTGCAGATCTAATTACATCTTCACACCTTCACATCTGCAGATCTACTTCCTCTCACCTTCACATCTGCAGATCTTCTCTCTCTCTCTCCTCCTTTCTTTCTCTCGCTCTTCTTTCTATCTCTCTCTTAAGGCGGGGGCGGTGCCGCCAGAGCGCCACGAAACGTGACAGGCGCAGCATTCCGTGCACATCGGACGTCCAAAACCAAAGTAAAAACTACGATTTTGAAGTGTCCGCCGCAACCCTCTCGCACGAAATGGACGTTGGACGTCAAAACTGAAGAAAAATTGCGATTTTGAAGTATCCGCCTCGACCCTTTCGCACGAAATGAACGTTGAACGTCAAAACTGAAGTACAATTCCGATTTTGTGAGGTATCCGCCACAACCCTTTCGCGCGAAATGGACGTTCAACGTCAAAAACTGAAGAAAAACTGCGATTTTGAGGTGTCAGTCGCAACCCTGTCGCACGAAATGGACGTTGGACGTCAAAAACTGAAGTAAAACTGCGATTTGAGGTGTCAGTCGCAACCCTCTCGCACGAAATGGACGTTTGCGATTTTGAGGTATCCGCCGCTACCCTTTCGCGCGAAATGGACGTTGGACGTCAAAAACTGAGGTAAAATTGCGATTTTGGAGTGGGTGCAGAGATGCATTCAAAACAATATTGTCGACATCTTTCTTCTGTGGATACTTAGGTGTGCCTTTGAAGTTGTGGCAGTTATAACGTAAGTTATAAGTAATTTATGCAAGTTATGAAAGGTATACTTTTTGAACTTATTTTGAAGTTACGTTTTTGTAATTTTCACTCTTCAAAAAAACAGTCTGCAAACTGCAAACTTGATTAAAAGCGGATCATCCGCTCCAAAAGAACATGTTCGAAGCTCAAAGGCAAATCATTTGGAGCCTCATACCAAATGGCTTTGCAAACCATGGCTTCTAAAACATTTTGTTTTGAGCTGTTGCCAAATCCTGCAAAAAGTACAGAATGACAAAGATGATGATAGACCATAAGTTGGTATACGATTGGTATATGGCCTCTCCTGGCGATCACCTGTGCTCGGTATACGCTTGGTATACGGGACATTTTCCTTTTGGTATACGGTTGGTATACGGGGCTGTCCTTTTTGGTATACGTGTTGACTTCTTTACATACAGCTTGGTATACTGGCTCTCTTTGGTTCGGTATACGCGCGGTATACGCTGGTATACGGTGTTTCTGTCTTTCCGGTATACGAAAATATACGCTGGTATACGGTGATCCCCTGTTACATGTGTAGGTTTGACATGAAAAACAGATAACATTCAAACGCTTCAGATGTTAACATCACCGGACATGTGAAAAAAACAAACGAAGTTTAGCGGAGGACCCGCTCCAATTCAAATGCAGCGGTTGGCCCGCTCCAAAGAAAATCGCAACAGTCCTCAACCAATCTTACAAGAAATTGACAGGTAGCAACAGGTGGGACAAAAAACAGCCAAACAGAAGTTATGATTTCTAGTTTTTTTAAAGAAAAAGTGAAGTTACAAAAAGAAGTATAACTAAGTTAGTAACATCAAGTTACTAAGTTCAACTTATAACTGCCATAACATACGTTATACCTATGTTATAGAGCTTGTAATATATGTTGTAACTCACGTTATAACTGCCACAACTTCAAAGGCACACCTAAGTATGGTCTTGCGTTCATTCTTTGGAGATTGTGTTTTGTGATTGTTCCATGTTCTGTAGGGCCCGAGAGCGTAGAGCAGGGTCTTCTGTTGTTAGTATTGAGACACTATATTACAAGACAATATATTAAAGATGTATTATAGGCAGACGAGAAGAGTAGTATCAAGACAATATACTACAAGTACAAGACACTAGTTTGCATCGTATCCTTCGTATTGCTTTTCACACACAGAACCTTTTACACACAGACGCTTTTGCACAGAAGCTGTTACACACAGGAGCTTTTACACACAGATATTTTTACACACAGACGCTTTTACACACAGACGCTTTTACACACAGAAGCTTTTACACGCAGAAGCTTTTACACGCAGAAGTTTTTGCAACCGCATTATCATTGCAAAAGTCATTCAACTGGTTTTTGTTGCCGATCTTTTGGTGGGAGCCTCAAGTGGATGCAGAGATGCATTTAAAGCAATACTGTCGACATCTTTCTTCTGTGGATATGGTCTTGCATTCATTCTTTGGAGATTGTGTTTTGTGATTTGGAACGGCTGCATTGAAAGTTGATATCTGTTTCCTGTTGAGGTGACATGTGACTGCAAGGATCGATTTGTGTTTACTGGCCATTGGCATGTTCTCGTGTTGCATTTTTCATGCTGTCTCTTTCTGGTTGTCCTTACCAAACAGCTTGCTCCAACGCGGCTGGCACAAGTTATGCGTATCTGTGTCCCCCACCACCGGCCAACGTGGTGCCTGTTGGGTATGCGCCGGCCATAGTAAAATGAGATAACACATGTCATTCGCAGCATCATGGTACCGAGCCTCCTGTGCACTTTTGTTGCTCACATTATATATTATATGTTTTTAATGTTTTCTTTCTATCTTCCTTTATTTCTCCCTCTCTCTCTCTCTCTCCCGCTTTCTCTCTCTCCCTCCCTCCCTCCCTCCCTCCCTCTCTCTCTCTCTCTCTCTCTCTCCCTTTCTCTCTATCTATGTCTCTCTGTGGTTGCAAGACACGTGTCACATGATGCCCTGTACCAAGCAGCACAGTGCATATGCATGGGTTGTCACATGTATCCTCTTCTTAATCAAACTTACTTTTCACAACTTATCCCTCCATAGCTCATATAGAATTCGCCAACCATTCACCGACTATTTTTTTACGACTGCCATACTCAGAGCTACTTGAAAAACGTCTTTTTCGCTCTCGGGCCAACCGCCGTCTAGTTTCATGCCGGATTGTCCACAATCTTTGTTTGTTGGTTGCATGTCTACATTGTTTTCAAAAAACATTCGAAGAAATATGGGTATGGGTCAAAATTGGGTACCCCTAAAAATAGATGGTGAATACTAAGCATAGACTAGAATCTGCGGTCCCCCGAGTCTCAAATTTTGACCCATCCTCATATCACTTGAACTTTCCCACGCGCTGGTTGCTGCTGCACTCTGAAAACTTCGGGATCGGTCTTGACGTATCTGGGTGGTGTCAACCCCTCTGAAGCATAATCACTATAGGGGATATACCCATTTTCATTTCAATGAGTGGATTGCCCCTGTGTGCCGGACCCCAATCCCTCCCTCACTCCTGGCCTTCCAACCTTCAAAGATCCACTTGTGCTTGGTGAGTGCCACAGTCTGGAAAACCGTTCACAGCAAGTGCATCAATTAGCGAAAGTCACAAAATTCCATTCAACATCATGTGTGATTGTATGAGTTGCATACGCAAATACAACATATACACAGGATATGATCATGACGTGCACATGTGGTTAATCTGTTCATTTCAGTTCTGAGCTGTCCTGATACTCTTTGTCCAAGAATTATCTACTCGTGAACAAGACTACACATGTAACAACATACATTGCAGGTGTATTTGAAGATCCAGAATTCATAATCTGGTTCGGAACTCCCATGGCAATGACAGGATTTCATCCACTTTTGCCACTTTTGGAATCCAAAGCATCACAGAGCTCAGTCTATGAGTCATTTACATCAGCAGCACTTAAAGCTCTTCTGGACTAGACTTATCCATCCAGTTTTCAATGGGGGTTGGACGTACATCATCTGAAGAGCGGTTTCAATACCATCAAAATTCCACAGGTCAATTGGAATCATCATCCCATTTGTAGGATGGAGGATAAAGAATGATCGAAGGAAGTTTAGAAGTCAAACCTCCGACAATATGGACAGATGAAAAGCAGAGATGGGAAGAGTCAGAGAGAAGAGAAGAGTAGAAGAGAGAAGAGTAGAAGAGAGAAAATCAGAGAAGAGAAAGAGTCAGAAGAAAGAAGATGCAGGTGCGCGAAAAGGCAGGAAAGTCGCGAAACAAGGTGTTTTTCCAATGATTTGTGGCTCCGGAGGGTCGAAAAGTAGGCTCGCTAAAGCGGCAGGTGCGGAGCCATGTGGTCAGATGAGAGATGAAATTGCGCGCCGTTGTGGCGCGAAGCACATTTCCAAGCCAAAATGTACAAAACACCACATGTTGGTGGAAGTTGAGATGTCGAAAATGTGCACGCCGTTGTGGTGCCAAGCACATTTCAAAGTCAGAATATAGAAAGAACACCAGCTTCGGACCACTTTTGGAAGTTGAGCTGTTGAAAAAGTGCACGCCGCTGTGGCGCGAAGAACATTTCGAAGTCAAAATGTACAAAACACACCAGGTCCGGACCACTTTTGGAAGTTGAGATGTCAAAAAAAGTGCACGCCGTTGTGGTGCCAAGCACATTTCGAAGTCAGAATATAGAAAGCACACCAGCTTCGGACCACTTTTGGAAGTTGAGCTGTTGAAAAAGTGCACGCCGCTGTGGCGCGAAGAATATTTCCAAGTCAAATGTACAAAACACACCAGGTCCGGACCACTTTTGGACGTTCAGATGTCGTTTCGCGAGGCAGGCGCAAGGGATTGTGGACCTTGTCAAAAGTGAGCAAAACGTGAGGGTTTTGTAGCATTTCCAAAAACGATGGCAGGCGTGGGGCAAAGATGCATTTTCCGTGGCAGGCGCAGTACAAGAGACATCTTCATCAGAGCTGTTAGGAGGTCCCGGCGCTGATTTCCTGAGAAGGGTTACATTTTGGAGCCTCAGATCTTCAGGTTTGCTGAGATGATTTTGGCTGACAGGTGCAGCACTTTGTATGACCTGGCATCACTTTTTCGTGGCAGGCGCAGTATATACTTTAGACAGGTGGACTGGAAAAATGGCAGTACGAGGCCATCAGCTCTGCACTCAACTTTCCATTCTTGAAGGAAGTCTCGCAGAATTCTTTGTTTTTGATGTTGTCAACTTTGAAAAATGAGGAAGGCTCGCAGAATAGCTTCATTTTTGACGTTGTCAAGTTCAAACATTGAGGAGGTCTCGCAAAATTGCTTCGTTTTTGATGTTGCCAACTTTGAAAAATGAAGAAGTCTCGCAGAATCGCTTCGTTTTTGACGTTGCCAAGTTCAAACATTGAGGAAGTCTCGCAGAATTTGCTTCGTTTTTGATGTTGTCAACTTTGAAATACGAAGAAGTCTCGCAGAATAGCCTGGTTTGCAAGCTTGCAGATAGACAAGTAGATAGATAGACAGACAGACAAACAAATAGATACATATATAGATAGGTAGATAGGTAGATAGATAGATAGATAGGTAGATAGGTAGGTAGATAGTCAGAGAGAAAGAGAGGAGACATCAATCACCTTTCGATCCATCAGTGGCTTCGCTCTGCCATCCGTGATTCACAACAACCAACCTCTCCTATAGGTTTCCTATTTTTGAAACTTGCGCCGCCGACTTGTGCGGTATTACTGGTAAAGAGCAGATTGGTCAACTCATTCCATCAAACGGACACCACCACATATTGTGAATGGATCCAACTTTGTTGTCCCTCCAAAAGTGAAGTTTTGAAAGTGGTTTTCACAAATGGTGTCGGTCTTTGATTTTAAACATGGGTTCTTGATAATTATTGAAATACCAAACATATCGATAAAAATCAACGATACACCAGATCTTGAAATATGTGAAGATCATATCAATGATCACCATATCTTGAAATACCATACATATCCATACATCATATTATGATCAAAGAATCATATCTTAAAATATCATGGTAAGATATACTATCCAACAGAAAAACCATGTGGAAATATAATGCCAAACATGGAATTTGATGACTCGGGGGGTGCCAAAGCCTCGAATGGCCTCCGTGGGACCAAACCGGGTGGAGCCTTAGCACCGATCCCCGGAAACGACAAGGGGATGACTGGAGATCTCAGATTACCTTTGGGCTTCAGCTATTTCCCAAATACATATAAACATATACATATATAGACACTAGACGATTCTTTCTGGCCTCAATTTGCAGCCATTTTTATAGGGTAAAATGGAAAAGAGGCCACTTAAACCAATGAATAGGTCCAGTCTTAAGTGGACTCCTTGGTCATTGTCGAAGTGACCTCTGCGGTAGGGTTTCAATGCAGTTTGCCTGGTGATCAAGGGCACCTGAGGGGATATTTTTTTCGTGCCATCTGGGTGTCATTTGTGTGTCACTTGACATGAAGAGGCCACTTGCGGTCCGAAACGGCCGCTTATGGGGCTGAAACGGCCACTTAGCGATGATGGAGTACAATGGTGTGCGTGTCATTTGCGTGCCCCTGCCTGTTGCTTGGTGGCTAGGACTGGCGCGGGGAAATACAAGTGCTCGGGGGGATAAACCAAAAGAAAAAACATAATAAAACCTAACATGTCCAAAGCAAGGAGGAACAAATCGAGAGGATTCTTAAGTGGCCTTTACCTGACCGAAGTGGCCTCATTCCCTCATAGTGAATCTCGCCTGAGCGGCTTCTTTTTCAAGTTCTATAAAAGTGGCCTTAAACAAGCGGCCACGTAAAAAAAAAAAACAACAACAAAGAGGCCAGAAAGAATCGGCTGGCATATGTATTAGTATATGTATGCATGTAATGGAGTGGAATGGCTTGGAATGGAATGCAGTGTAATGTAAATTAATGTCATGTAATGTAATTTTATGTAAAGGAATGTATTGTATTGTAGTGCATTATATTGAAATTTTGAATGCAATGTAATGTAATGTAAGGTAAGGCAAGGTAAGGTAATGCAATGTGTGAATTGATCACACTGGTAAGGACAGAAAATCACAGTAATGTAATCTATGTATTCATGTGTCTATATATATACATAAAATGCATGTTTACTACATATATATATATATACATATATATATATTATCAATATGTAAATATATGTATCTATCTATATATATATACATATCTTATGAATACATGATATGTGTGCAAAAGCCAAATTGGGTCGGGCATGCGAGGTTCAGCAGCCCCAGGGGACGTCGAGGTATGGGGACGGATGTGATGAGCCACAGTTGCGTTGCTTGAGATCCTATGTGCACCTTCTGTGCCTGACTTCTTTCCGCGGTTGAAAACCAGAATTTCAGTCGCTCCTAGAAAAAGGAGTCTGGAGAAAAAATATCGTTGTGAGATGTTTGCCAGTCGATATCGCCGTTTGGCCAGGGCTCCAAAACGGCATAGCGATAAAAATCACATGAAACGCAGTTCTGCCCAAAAAAGTTTGTTCTTGTTGAAAAAGTAGTTCTTGGCCAGAGGGCAACCATTTTCACAAGTTTGAAGACGTAGGCGTATTAATTACGTATACATATACATATAGTACATGTAGATAATTATACGTAGGTAGTAGTTACACATCTACATACTAAGGAAAACAAACCAGCAAAGAATTTCAAACAACATCTGATGTTACACCCTTCATGTGCAAAGAAACAGACAATTCAACATCATTTACATTGCTGCTACCACATGTTGCCACCATTCCCCAGCTCCAAACGGACCAAGGCACGCGTTTCTTGGGGTTCCAATAGGCCTTTCCCACCGGTGCCTTTCCGCCCGACGGCAGGTGAGCACAAAGGATGGAGGCTTCGCCTGGCACGAAGGGATTGGAGGCTATTGGGCGATGGGGATCAATGGGGTTCTTTACCATGGACCCATAGAGTTTCACTCATTTTTAGTTTTTTCCATGACATCATGACACCATTCAGTTTGAAGGTCATGATCAACATTTTGAATCGTCTTGACCGATACCGATGATTCCGTCTCCCATGCGTAAACGTGCAACAGCATATATACTGTTAAGGACTTTTTCACATGTTGGGTTTGGCTGTGTCCAACATCCAAATGATTTTGCACCAAGTACATCCATGGCAGAAACGGTATTGTAACCCAGAATGTACAGTAAACCATCCTTGCAGGGATCTATTTATTACTCCGTTGTTGTCTTGGGGCCATGCTGTTGCTCCCCAAAACAGATTTTGAGGTTTCATTCCCGGCCTAGCCAATAACAGGAAAGATCCATTTACAAGCTATTTAGAGGTTCACCAGGGTAGCAGGATTTTTTGTACCCATAGCCAACATGGGGGTTTCTTGAAATAGGGGTATCCCCAAATCATCCATTTGTTAGGTGATTTTCCATGAAATAAACCATCCAGCTATTAGGGGTACCCCCCATTTCAGGGTTCCTTCCCAGTCCATCCCTTCCTGCAAACTCGAAGAAGCGATGATGTGCGCCAGCAGTGACAACCTTGTGCCGTGTGGTCTGTGGTGGATCGACATCCCTTTTTTAGTGTGGGAACTCTGATAAGCCATGGTGGATGATGATCGAAATAGAAATCATGCACAAACCACGAACAAACAAATAACATCAATTAACGCTTGTGCATCGGACACAAATATATCATATATCTAAATATATATATATAGAGATATGTATCATATATATATACACATCATATTAAAAAAACATATCAAATCAAATCATATCAAATTAAATTACAATATATTAAATATTATAGTCTATTATGTTATATACTCTATAATATAATATATATATATAATATTAAAAAATGTAAATCAAATACAATATATTAAATTATAAATTAAATATTATATATAATATTATATTACATTAAAAAATATTAAATCTTAAATTAAATTACATATTATATTACAAATTATGAATATATATATAGTGCATATAATATTAAATATTGAATTAAAAATAATATTACATTATATTATATTTTTTATGAAATATTTTCTATTGTATATTAAATATATTATAAATTAAATAGAATATAATATTATATATTGTATAGAATATTATATTAAATTAAATATAAAACTAAATATTAAATTATATGATATATTAAAATAAATATTAAATTGTATTATATATTAAATTTAATATTGTATTATATATTATATTATACTTTATTTTATTTTAACTATAATAAAAACAATATAACATAAATTATTATATTATATCATATTATATTATATATAACATATTAAATCTTAAATATTATATATTATATATTGTTTATTATATTTAATAAATGATATATTATCTATTAAATGCTATATTATATATATAATATATTATACATTAAATATTATATAAAATATATTACATATTACATATTATATATTACAATATATTATATTATACTTTATTATATTGCAAATATAATATAAACAATATGTCATATTAAATTATATTATATTAAATTATATTATATTATATTGTATTATATTATCTTGTATTATATCAAATTATTTTATATTCAAATATCTATATATATACATGGAATAGATATGCTTTATGTTTTGCACGGCATAGCGGTGAGTTTGCTGATAGTCACAATTGCACTGGTACTATGCAACTTTCGGCACATGGCCTTCTGCTCGGCAGGGCCACTTGTTACATCTGGCTACGCTGTCGCATGAACTCTAAACGATGCGGGCTTTTGATCATTTAATGAACATTTCTGACAGAAACTAATGCGTACGTCAAGGGCATGGGTACTGTATACCCCGTATGGGTCCGTATGGCAAACATGTCGCCATGGGAGGCAGCCACATACCTTGGAAAACTACTGAAGGCAGCTGTCCAAGACTAAGACCATCCCAACCACGTTGTACTACGAATATGGCGATGGATTTACCATACTTTGGCGGCATGAACCCCTATTTACCAGCTATAGGGTTCACCAAGGGGTCTCTAGGCTTTGACCCATAGTCCTGCTATCTCATCCTTGCCATGCCGAACTGGGGCTGCGAACTCGGAAGCTGATCTGGCGGATGCGGGATCTTAAGGGAGCGATGTTTCTGGATTAATTAAAAACCTGGGACCTGCATCACTTTGTAAACCCATTCCAAACGCACACAGAATAATCCCATCGTCAATCTATGTCAATCTAATATTTATCACCCCCATAGGGGACCAAAATGAGACTAAATCGGGGATTTTCAGGGAGATATTTTTATCATGAGCGGCAAGGGATTAATTACCATGATGGGGCAGAGAATGATAGAAATGTGGAATCTTTCTATGCTTAGTTTTGACCTATTGCCCAAATTAACTATACCCATCCATTTAAGAGAGTAGAGTACCGATCATGATTAGCGGCACATTCTAGGCAAAAGATGCACACGTATTCCCAGTCACAGTTTCGGTTTCATCCTTCTCTCGGTTTTGACCCATAGAATTCAGCATCCCCCGCTCCAAAGAGCTCCCAGTATCTATGACCCGTCGGTCTCTCAAAATCTCTCTAGCTGGACCGTTCATTTTCATGTTTGCATGGGTGATATGGTGATATCAGCATGTTTGATGGTAAAATCACAGATGTTTGATGGTAAATAATGGTGAATGACGATTGTTCCTGGTGATTTCCCTTATTCAATGGCTGCCCAGGCTGCCCATCCCCCATATCCAAAAACTGCAGCCTACCCACCAAAGCCTCAAAAGAGTCCACATCATTGAAGCGCACTGTGACTGCCTGGAGAATATTGACCATCTAGACTCAGCACTTGCCAACACATATGGCTGTCTGGGTCAGGTTTCTGTCTTGGTGTGGACAGGACATTAAGGTGATGAGTTAATGATAATCGAAAGAAGTTTAGACATCAAACTTCCGACAATATGGACAGATGAAAAGCAGAGATGGGCAGAGTCAGAGAAGAGAAGAGAAGAAGAAAGAAGATCCAGGTGCGCGAAAAGGTAGGAAAGTCGCGAAACACTGTGTTTTTCCATTGATTTGTGGCTCCGGAAGGTCGAAAAGTAGGCTGCAGGCTCGCTAAAGCGGCGGGTGCGGAGCCAGCTGGCCAGATGAGAGATGAAAAATTGCACGCCATTGTGGCGGGAAGCACATATCCAAGTCAAAATGTACAAAACACCTCAGCTTCGGATCACTTTCCCAAGTTGCGATGTCGAAAAAGTGCACGCCGTTGTGGCGCGAAGCACATTTCCAAGTCAAATGTACAAAACACACCAGCTTCGGACCACTTTTGGAAGTTGCGATGTCGGAAAAGTGCAGGCCGTTTGTGCGCGAAGCACATTTCGAAGTCAAATGTACAAAACACACCAGCTTCGGACCACTTTTGGACGTTCAGATGTGCTTTCGCGTGGCAGGCGCAAGGGATTGTGGACCTTGTGAAAAGTGAGCAACACGTGAGGGTTTTGTAGCATTTCCAAAAACGATGGCAGGCGTGGGGCATTTGAAGAGGATCTGCAAAGATGCATTTGCCGTGGCAGGCGCAGTACCAGAGACATGTTTATCAGAGATGTTAGGAGGTCCGGGCACTGATTTCCTGAGAGGGTTGCATTTTGGAGCATCAGATCTTCAGGTTTGCTGAAATGATTTTGCGTGACAGGTGCAGCACTTCGTATAACCTGGCATCACTTTTTCGTGGCAGACGCAGCACTTTACAGAGATGGAGTGGAAAAACCGCAAAACTCATTGGTACGAGCCCGTCAGCTCTGCACTCAACTTTCCATTTTTGAAGGAAGTCTCGCAGAATTGTTGTGTTTTTGCTGTTGTCAAGTTCAAAAATTCAGGAAGTCTCGCAGCACTGTCTCGTTTTTGGAAATGCTACGTTCAAAAAATGAGGAAGTCTCGCAAAATAGCTGCGTTTTCAAGCTTGCACATAGACAGATAGAAAGATAGATGGATAGATAGATAGATAGAAAGATAGATAGATAGACAATTACAACTACAACAGCTACAGCTACCACACTACACTACTGCTACAAACACAATTACCAGTAGTACCGCACAAGGCGGTGGCGGAAGTTTCAAAATTAGGAAACCTATAGGAGCAGGTGGTTGTTGTGAATCACGGATGGCAGAGCGAAGCCACTGATGGACCGAAAGGTGTTTGAGGTCTCCTCTCTTTCTCAGACTATCTACCTACCTATCTACCTATCTATCTACCTACCTAGCTACCTAGCTACCTATCTATCTATCTATCTATCAACCTATCAATCTATCAATCTATCAATCTATCTATCTATCTATCTAATCTAATCTATCCAATCTATCTAAACTATCTAATCGATCTAACCTATCTAATCTATCTAGTCTATCTATCTAGTCTATCTATCTATTCTATCTATCTACCTATCTACCTATCTACCTATCTACCTATCTACCTATCTACCTATCTACCTATCTACCTATCTACCTATCTACCTATCTACCTACCTACCTACCTATCTATCTATCTATCTATCTAACTATCTATCTATCTATTTGTCTATCTATCTATCTACCTATCTATCTACCTATCTATCTACCTTTCTATCTATCTAATCTATCTAATCTATCTAATCCATCTAATCTATCTAATCTACCTAATCTACCTAATCTACCTAATCTATCTAATCTATCTAATCTATCTAATCTATCTAATCTATCTAATCTAAGCTAAGCTAAGCTAATCTAGTCTAATCAAATCTATTTAATCTAATCTAATCTAAACTAATCAAATCTAACCTAATCTAATCTAATCTAATCTATCCAATCTATCTACTCTATCTAACCTATCTATCTTTCTATTCTATCTATCTAAATATCTACCTATATAAACGATCTGACAAATATAACCAATTCTACTATCGACACTGATATACATATCTAGCTATCTATCTATCAATTCTCTATAGATTATCTATGATATAGATGTCTATCTATATATCTAGAGATCTAATCTATCTAATCTATCTAATCTATCTAATCTATCTAATCTATCTAATCTTCTAATCTATCTAATCTATCTAATCTATCTAATCTATCTAATCTATCTAATCTATCTAATCTATCTAATCTATCTAATCTATCTAATCTATCTAATCTATCTAATCTATCTATCTATCTATCTATCTATCTATCTATCTATATCTCTCTCTCTTTCATCTATCTATCTATCTATCTATCTATCTCTCTTTCATCTGCTTACCTATCTATCTATCTATCTATCTCTCTATCTATCTCTCTCTCTCTCATCTGTCTATCTGTCTATCTGTCTTTCTGTCTATCTATCTATCTACCTATATATATATATATATATCTCTCTCTCTCTCTCTCTGTCTGTCTGTCTGTCTCTCTCTATCTATCTGCAAGCTTGAAAACGAAGCTATTCTGCGAGACTTCCTCAGTTTTTGAACTTGACAACATCAAAAAACGCAGCATGTGAGTGAGACTTCCTCAATTTTTGCAGTTGACAATATCAAAAACGACTAGA